AAAGCACTTGTTTGAATTTTCTTACCTATTTGGTTCTTGGCATTTTTTCTTCTCCTGAGTTTTGCATGCTGTAACAGAGAGACTGCTTTCTACATCAGAATTAGGGTGTGACCTGTGGGATTTTCCTGGAATATCTGCCCTGCCTGGGGCCACCAGAAATCCTGCCTTCAGCTCTCTGCCAAGCTAGCACATAAAGAATCAGAGGAGCTCTAGAACTTGTCAAGGGGGATTTGAATTCAGCAACTTTCGTCTCCTTCTTCCCAGGGCAAGGTGCTAAGAGAGGTGGGTAGAGAGAGAGGGTGACAGCAGAGACCATGCACAGTGAGGTCACAGGGAAAGTTGTTCTAACCTGAGGACTGTGACAGCCATCACCACCTCACCGAGATGATGCCCTCCCAGCTCTGCCTACTCCTCCCCCTCCCCCCTGCTGTCCTTCCTTCCCTTCCATTCTTCCTGAGCCTTTATAAAGTTAAGTCAAACCACTAACTCCCCCAGATGCCCCAACTCACCCACCCCAGTTCTCAAATCACCCTGAAAAACTCAATGTGTGTCTTTCTCTGACCTTTTTGCAATGCATATGACAACACACGTATCTTTGTTTTTTGTTATACTGCTTTGTTTTGTTCTATAAAGTGGAATCAATGTGTGCATTGTTCTATGCCCTTTTTCTTGCTTAAAAATGTGCAATATACAGACTCTTCTGTCAGTCAATACCCATTTACAACATGATGCCTATCCCCCTCCCCTGTGTTTAACCCATAGAAGAAGAGAAGGCTGGTTCCTGACCCCACCCTCCCCACCCTGGCTGGTGAAACTCTGCCCTGCTCTTGATGTCGCTGCTGACTGACCTTTGTCTGCCCTCTCTGCCTGCTCCTTATTCTGTTTAGGTCGCTCTGATTATTTTAATATCAGGTTCAGAAATAATGACAGACAGGTGCATGGATAAAATGCAATTACTGTATGAGGCTGAGGTTTTTATTTGTTTGTTTTATTGAAAAGCCATCCTTCCCAGGTTTAGAGTGCTTGCTAGGTTGCATTTTATTTTTGGCAAAAGTAAACCCAGTGAATTTTCAGGATTGGTCGCTTCTGTTTCACCACAGGTTTCTATTCAGTGAGGTTTAGTTTCGAAATATTCAAATGGAAATGATAGGGCCAAATCTGTAAAACTCAACAGATGCAGAAGCACATCAGAATTCTAGGGTGGCCCTTCAGTGAATCCCACACTTGTCTTTTTTTTTTTTTTTTTTTTTTTTNAGCGGGAACCGGTCTCCACATGGGATCCGAACCCTCGGCGGGAGCGCCACCGTGCTCCCAGACGGCGCACTTTCCAGTGCGCCACCGGGCCGGCCAGGGACTCTCTCTTGAAGCTAGTGCCAGAATATTCTTTTGTTTTCAAATGTCACTTACTCATTTCTTTTTTTCTGACCGAAAAAAAAAAAAAGAAAAGAAACAATAACACGATGGATTTGTATTCTGCAGGGAAAATATGGTTCCAGTTCCCATTTCCAGCCCTTATATAAAGCACTTGTTTGAATTTTCTTACCTATTTGGTTCTTGGCATTTTTTCTTCTCCTGAGTTCTGCATGCTGTAACAGAGAGACTGCTTTCTACATCAGAATTAGGGTGTGACCTGTGGGATTTTCCTGGAATATCTGCCCTACCTGGGGCCACCAGAAATCCTGCCTTCAGCTCTCTGCCAAGCTAGCACATAAAGAATCAGAGGAGCTCTAGAACTTGTCAAGGGGGATTTGAATTCAGCAACTTTCGTCTCCTTCTTCCCAGGGCAAGGTGCTAAGAGAGGTGGGTAGAGAGAGAGGGTGACAGCAGAGACCATGCACAGTGAGGTCACAGGGAAAGTTGTTCTAACCTGAGGACTGTGACAGCCATCACCACCTCACCGAGATGATGCCCTCCCAGCTCTGCCTACTCCTCCCCCTCCCCCCTGCTGTCCTTCCTTCCCTTCCATTCTTCCTGAGCCTTTATAAAGTTAAGTCAAACCACTAACTCCCCCAGATGCCCCAACTCACCCACCCCAGTTCTCAAATCACCCTGAAAAACTCAATGTGTGTCTTTCTCTGACCTTTTTGCAATGCATATGACAACACACGTATCTTTGTTTTTTGTTATACTGCTTTGTTTTGTTCTATAAAGTGGAATCAATGTGTGCATTGTTCTATGCCCTTTTTCTTGCTTAAAAATGTGCAATATACAGACTCTTCTGTCAGTCAATACCCATTTACAACATGATGCCTATCCCCCTCCCCTGTGTTTAACCCATAGAAGAAGAGAAGGCTGGTTCCTGACCCCACCCTCCCCACCCTGGCTGGTCATTTTTTTTTTTTTTTTTTTTTTTTTTATCAAAGGGCTCTATTTGATCATATTACTAGGTTGGAGTTAGCCAATAAAATCAGTAGTGTATTTTATCGGATTGGAAAATGAATGAAACGAAGAAAGGAAGGGAGGAAGGAAGGAAGAAAATAACATTGAGTGGAATTGTGGAGAAAACAGAAAGGTGTATTTTCACCACCTTGCTAGCTTGTAAAAGGTATTGAGGACTTTTTGTGTGAATATGGCCTGTGAGAATAGATTATTCTGTTAGTATGGAATAATTAAACACTGTTGTCTCATGACTTAGTAACCCTAGCCTCTAGAATAGATACTAAGATTAATTAATAAACGTTAATGTACTAGTCTGTCATTCTAAAACCATTGTTTTCCACCAGGTTTGTTACATCTGTAGCTTCTAATATTTGTGTTTTGTGAAAATAAGAACTTTAAGAGGAAAAGACCCTGTTCTGCTAGCAACAGGGCTGGCTTGGGTCCTTGTAGCTCAGTGGCCTCATTAACTACCATAGCTGCAAGGCAGTTCAGAGTCTGTGGGAAAGCTAGATGTGGGAAAGTTAGATGTGAGAGCTAGGACTTTGGCATTTTCTCAACCAAGTACAGATATTTTAATTTCTGAGCCAAACCCAATGTCACCTTAGAAGAGGTGTTTTCCAGGAAAGAGTAAAAGTTCAAGATTAAAACACAGTATGTGTGTTTGCATCTTCAGGAATTTGGGAGCAGACAATCTCCCTAAGTCCTGTAAGAGTGCATCTTCGTGTCACTAAGACACTTTGCTGTCAGGGCTCAGAATCTAATCAGAGCTTGCCTGCTAAGAGTTATGGGGTAGGTGGGGCAGGAGGAGGACAAGGATTAAGGAGTGTAGAGGATGAATTACTACTTTCTTAGCAGGTGCTCTTGCGGGGCAGCTGGGATTAAGATATAAGGGAAGATTTGTCAGAGACACTAGTTCGAAGACACTAGTTTCAGTTTTTATTCCTCCTTTGCCTTCCCTAGGAAGTGAAGACTTGTTTTTGATCTAATAAATAACACCAGAGGGCAGTGGTGCTAGTTGTAGATTATTTCTTCGAACTTTTGTGAAAATTTCAGAAAGAAAGAGCATATTCTTCCTCAAATGGGAGGGCTCTTGAATGCCAATTCAAATAGGAAGAAATGAAATTTCTCTATCCAGCCTGACTTACTGGAATTAAAACCAACAATGCAGATAAGGCACAGCTGGATACAAGACAGTTGGTTAGTGGCACTCACTGTTATGATGGGATTCTAGGGCACTTTCTCAGTTTAACTGTGGCCCTTCTGTTTGTCATTCTCCTGTTCTTCTTTAGGGACTAAATATGCATTAAAAACCTCCATGAACCTGCTGTTGTCACACAACATTTTAATGTATTAATATTTAATATAATACCTTTTAGTGTTTTTTCCATAAAGTCTTTTGGAGGAGGAGGATAACTAGTTACTATTTTCTTAAAAAACCTAGAGGAATTGTTGTGCAAATCTGAATATGACTTTTTTGAAAGTGAGAATGAAAGGTCTTCTTCTTGATGGGAACTCTGCAGAGTCTCTTGGCGACCAGGTTATCACATGGCAAGAGCAGGCTAAACAAGAGAGAGCTAAGCTGCTCACTCACTCTCCTTGTAAAGCCATCAGAACCACACCCATTACTCCATGAATGGATCAATCCATTTGCAAGGGCACAGTCCTCACAATCTAATCACCTGTTGAAAGCCTCACCTTTCAAATACTGTAATTGGATTTCTCACCCTCTTAACACTGTTACAAATGAGGGTCAAGTTTCCAATACATGAATTTGGGGGGGATACATGTAACCCACAGCAAAGGCCAACTATATGTGAGACACTGTTAAAGGCAACAGACATCAGCTTATAAGAAGGTGGAGCTTATATTCTAGAGGCAGGGGCAAGGGCAGACTTTAAAGCAGTACAACAAATCAGTAGTGATGAGAGCCATGAAGAAAATATAGCAGGGTGGTGAGGGGGTTATTTTGGATGGGTGCTTAGAGAAAGTAGTTTGCATGTGGCAACTTGAAAAGTAGGAAGGAACTGGGCACATGAAGATCAAGGGGAGGAGCATTCTAAACAAATGGAACAATGAGTGCAAAATTCCTGATGTGGAAACAAGCCTGATGTGTTTGAGAAAGCCACTGTGGCTGGGGCAGAGCGGATAAGGAGAGAGGAAGGGGTGCAGTCAGCAAGGTGGCCAGCGCTGGATCTGACAGGACCTTGTAGAGAAGGTTCTCGTTTTATTCTGAGAGAGATGAAGACTTCAGAAAATTCTGATCAGAGGAGGAATGTGATCTGGGTACCTTCTGAAAAGATAGTCCATTCCTGGCATGTATTTTAGGGGTAGGGAGGACAAGAGTGGAAGCTCATGGTTAAGAGGTTGTTTAGGAGGTGCCTTGGGTTGAATGTCCCCCCAAAACTTAGCCCCCACTGTGACTATTAAGAGGGTGGGAAATCCTATTATGGTAATTGAAAGGTGGAGCCTTGAAGAGTTGATTGGACTGTAGGACCCTGCAGTAGTGAATGGATTACAAATGGTGGTCAGGGGCGTGGTTCTGAAGGTTTAAAAAGGAGAGTGCATGAAGAGATCTCTCTCTCTCTCTGCTCTGCTATCTACTGCCATTGAGACCCCAGCCATCACTGTTGCCACCACCAAGGCCTTCACCAGCTGTGTTCCCTGGACTTTGGACTTCCCAGCCTCAGCAACTATAAGCAATAAATATTGTTTTCTTTATAAATAACCCAGTTTCAGGTATTTATGTTATAAGCAACAGAAACTGACTAATAGAGGAGGTGTAGAAGTTATTTATTGCTGTGTAACAAATTACCCCAACACCTAGCAACCTAAAATGACAATATACATTTATTATCTCACTTAATGTCAGGAATTTAGGAGCAACTTAGCTGTGTGATTCTGGCTCAGTCTCTCATGAGGTTGCAGTCAAGATGTTGGCTTGAGATAGAGTGATCGAAAGTCTTGACTGGTCCTTACAAGATGGCTTGCTCAGGTGGCTGCTAGCAGAAGGCCTCCATTCCTTGCTACCTGGATCTTTCCATAGGATCACTTGAATGTCATAACATGGCAGCTGGCTTTCCCCCAGAGTAAGTGATCCAAGAGAAAGCAAGGTAGAAGCCACAATGCTTTTTTATGACCAAGCCTGGGAAGTAACACATTATCATTTCTGCAATTTCCTATTGCAGGCCAGTCCTATTCATTGTGGGTATGAATATTAGGAGGTGAGAATTATTGGTAGCCATATTGGAGGCTGGATACCATGGATGGCTTTTATAGCAGTTGTCCAATGGGAGATCATGGTGGCCAGGCAAGAGTTGCCCAGCAAAATTATACTCCTAAAATATATATGCATCTGGCAACACATCTGAGTAGAGATTTTCCTGTCATGGGCTACTTGGTAGCCTGTTATTTGGAGATCAGTCCACAGAACTAAAAAAATTCCAATTATAACCCATTGTTAGACTCTTGAGGTGTTTTAGCCACATTGTAAATTAACAGTTTACTTGGCTTCATTTGACACATCTCTGATTATGATAAGTGACAAAATGATACAAACTGTGTGTTTCTCAATAGTTTAAATAATATCCCAGTCTCTTGAGCAGGTGGGAGGAAAGATGAATACACTTCTATTACATTTGTATTTTATATAACACCTAATTGCTCCCAAATTGTCCACTGGTTTTGTTGTTTGAATAAGTTTAATTTATCTCTTGCTGAGCCATGCTCAATAAGCTGTCATTCTTAAAGTCACTTAATGGGAATATGCTTTAAGAGCAAGTAAATCAGTGAGATGCCACTGGCCCTGGAACTTGTCTTGTCAGTGTAGTTATGGAAACACAAGGTAGACTGGTGTCTTTCAGCAATCACAGAGGAATGATCTGTCAGAGGGGAGAATTAATTTAACAGAGTGTAGGTGAAAATCACTCTATTTAATTAGGGGAGTTGTCTGTAGCTCCAAATTAGTTTCTCTGGTGATTATTTCATAGCTTTCTTTTGTTTTAGACAAATGATAGAAACCCAAACCCAAATCCTTGGAGAAGCTGCCTTTAGAAAGAAAAAAAAAAGTGTCAGCAACAATGACCATGGCTAGTTGACCCAGGAGGATTTGTTACCTTAATATTGTGCAAAAATTCATGGCTTTGGTGGCAAAGACTAAACTGAATGCTGTTATGCTGTTGATTGTCAGATTTTAAGAATAGTTGCAAGATTTGGATGAATTTACTTTTTCCATTTCTGACTCAGAGCAAAAATATTCCTTCTTTTTTTCTCAAATGTATCACTGTTTTGAAAGAATGGTTTTTATTGTTTAAATTCAGACCTCTTTTCTATCCATTGATAACACAGTGAAGGAATAAATAGCATAGATCTTAAATTTAAAAGAAAATCCTGGGTCACAGCACTTGGCGCAGAACCAGACACTGTTGTTTCTGAGGTCGTTTTGAATAGAGTAATGTCCTTCAGCTGTGAGCCTTACATAAATCCTCCCCTGATCACGCAGCTCTCCCCTTCATCATCAAGTCAACGTGTTTATGTTGTATTTAGTGCCCGTGAGTGATGAAGAGGAGGGAGCTGTTCTTTTTGACAGCTCTGGCAAGGCGGCTGCAGACCCCTTTGACACGTCTTCTGGGTCCGTGCAGCTCATCGCAATAAAACCCACAGCCCTCCCTGTGGCGCACCCCACCGCGGACAGGAGTCAGGAGTCATCGGCAGTCCTCAACGGTGAGGTGAGCACCCAAGGACCCAGGGCGGGGAGGGAGTCCAGCCAGGCTGCAGCAGAATGAATCAGGATGCAGGTCACCCACCACGAGTTTGTGGGGTACTTTTTTCAGAGCATTTTCTACTGTCATTAGAAAGCCCAAAGGAAACTTTTTAAAAACTGTGGTTATGAAGAGAATCATCAGAAGTTCTACTCCCCTCACACACACAGACTCTGCCTTTCTTGATAACTCTCCTACACTGTCCATTATGGGGTGTCGTTTGTAGTGGGGATGGGAAGGGCTTGAATTGAGAGGGAACTGGTGAAGATATTGTCATATGGACAGGGATGTGGCCCTCTATATAAGCTCTGAAATGGCATTTATTTGAATTGTCCTTTGGGCAAGCTTGAAACATGCCATTGGCTGTTTCCAGGAGGATATCAATGGACATAATGATGTTAGTCAACTTTTGTGAGAGTCTGAAAAAAAATACATAACCTGTGCCGGAGAGTGATGATTTCATCAAAGAAAATTAGATAGATAGATAGATAGATAGATAGATAGATAGATAGATAGATAGATAGGGGAAGTTTAGAGGGAGAGTAAGAAGTCAGGTAAAAATGATCTGCCATCCCTCCATCTTCTGCAGCAGAATGGTCAGTGGGCTGAAGATGTTTTGTGATGATTTCATCAAAGAAAATTAGATAGATAGATAGATAGATAGATAGATAGATAGATAGGGGAAGTTTAGAGGGAGAGCAAGAAGTCAGGTAAAAATGATCTGCCATCCCTCCATCTTCTGCAGCAGAATGGTCAGTGGGCTGAAGATGTTTATGAACCTTTAGGAACATGCATATGGAACCCGCTTGTGAATTACACATGTGCACAAGCACATGCACACACACATACACTCTTATGTTTTCTACTGTCTTTCAACACCTGTCTGTCAGGTTGGTTGTTCATTTCATCTGTTTATACCCTGCTATTGTTACTGCAACAGGTGGGAGATTTTTAAAGTTTTCAAGTCTTTTTCCCACCACACCTCAAGGAACATGTCTCAGCCCTGTGCAACTGGGTGTCATAAATGTGCATCAAGGGCTTATCCTTATCCACCATCCAGGCCACTTTTAAAAGCATTTTACAGACCTGATTCAGGAAGCTCTTCTTGTTTTCTGGGCAGGAAGACCGAGCTGACCTGAAGATGTGATGGGTTGAGATCTATTAGTTTTTTTTAAATGACTGGTTGTAGACTTAGCACTTCTGTTCCAACCTCCTCATTTTTTTAGACAAAAAAACTGAAGCCGGAGGGGTCAAGTGGCTTGCTCAAAGTCACGCTGCAGGTTATGGTGACAGCCATGATGCTCAGATCCCTGGACTCCCTGTCCAGTGCTCCTTCCCTCTCTTTAACTACAGCTCCTCAGTGAAAAACAGCATTGTGCTGAAGAGAGTATGGACTCTCAAGCCATGTTGTAAGGGTTTGAATGCCAGCTCTTCTACTTACTATCTGGGTGGCCTTAGAGAGGTTAGTTAATTTCTCCATGCCTCAGCATCTCCATTCATAATATAGGGCTGCTATGAGGCTCAACTTGGTTAATACATGCAAAGCACTTAGAACAATGCCTAGCACACAGTAAGCACTTTATTATTATCATGAATTAGACAACCAGTGAGAAGGGAATCATCGATCATGTACTTTACACCCTTTGGCTCTGTAATTTGAAAACCTGATGTCTTCTCAAAACCAATCACAGCCACTGAATCTTTCCTTGGGCTCAATTCTGTCACCAGACAAGCAAGCCCAGCGATGAGAAGCCTCTGGGGTTGACACTAATGCACTGATAACTGCTCCTGATTAGGGCCCTCTGCCCAGTATGGACCCACATAATGCTGTCATGCCTGGATCTTTTCATCCCAGCTTAATGATATGAATGTCATAGAGACAGATTCCAAATCTGGGATAGATTAAACTTACCACTCCCTTTTCCTCCCAGGCCTATCGCCCTGTCACAGAAGGAGAACGGATGAGCATTTTCTTCGTCCAAAAATGGATCCTTGCTACATTTTCATAGTTAAAGGAATGGACCTTGCTGGCATTTGGGTTGGGAGAGAGCCCCTGAACTGTTCTCTCTAATTTGCTGCTTTGTGGAGCTTGATGCAGATTGTTTACAATTTTCTTTTCTTATGGGTGACTGGTTTAAGTTTAAATTTTCCTGTTATGATATACAGGAAATTCTTTTAAAAGTTATTTAAAAAAAAACAATAGCAACATAGAAAGTTTGGAAATGTGGGTGTAACATACTCATCATTTGTTATTTATTTAGCATAGTCGTGTACTTGTATCTTTAACAGGTCAGAAATTACGTTAGCCCTGCTCCTGTCTGAAAGATCAGACTGACTCTGCCCTATAGAGCAGGACCTGGTTGGCATTAGTAGCTGTAGAAGGCTTCAAAATTACCTATCTCTCAAGAAAGACACAGATTTATAAAAATATGGTCTCATATGCAGGTTGATAGTGTGGAGAGGCCTTGGAAGCAGGGTGTCTGCTCCCCCTTCCTACTCCATTCATCCCAACTCAACCTCTTCAGGAGCTGGTTATCTTATCCAGCTGGGCACCAGCTAAATGGCCAGGAGAGGCCATTGGGTTCCTCAGGGCTGGAGCTGGAGTCAGGGCACCGAGAACTAGCTGGGCTGCCAAGTCAGAGGCTCCCACACAGAGGAACCAAAAGACTGTAGGCAGAACTAAGGCCAATGCCACAAAACTAAGAGCATAGAGTCAGGCCTAGGCCTGAGCAGAGTTGGGGCAGACTAGGGGGAAGGAGGCCCTGCTGGAAACTCTCCACACTACGTGTGTGGCCCACTGTTGTAGGCTGGGCTTGGAAGGACACAGGTGGGTCCAGCTGGCTCAAAGGGCCAGAGGTTAAGCCTAGGATGGCTTTTCTAGGAGTTATGACCTAGTGAAAGTCTCTCACCTGTCAGCCGTGCTAGGCCAGGTGTGGGCCTAAGACCCTCTCTCCCCTCAGGTGAATAAAGCCCTGAAGCAGAAGTCAGACATCGAGCACTATCGGAACAAGCTGCGCCTCAAGGCCAAGAGGAAGGGATATTACGACTTCCCCCCAGTGGAGGTGAACAAGGGTCTGACCGAAAGAAAAAAGATGTATGAGAAATCCCAAAAGGAAATAGAGCATGTTTTGGATCCAGACCCAGAACTGTGTGCTCCATTCGCCGAGTCTAAAAACAGGTGCAGTCTCTGAGGGATTCTCTAAATGTGGCTGTCTCATTGGTGGGATGAGGGCAGAGGAGGCCTTGGCAATATAGTGCTGGGCCCTTGATCTGGTTCCTTAGGACTGTGATCTTTGCAGGCCACTGATCTGATCATGCTGGTCCGTGCAAGCAGGTGCTCCATAATGAGTCTGGAAGAGAATAAAATTAAAGCCATTTAAAAAAATACTTAGTTAAGATCCCCTTACCGGTCATCTTTAAAAAAAAAAAAATACTTAGGCAAACAACCATAATTGTCCTTTAGCTTAATGATATTTTCAACCCAGTAGTTGTTTCAGAGCTGGGTGAAGATATAATTATCATCTTCCTAGTTATGCAACTTCCAGACCAAGGGACATTGTATTTTTCAATTATTTTAGTGTTTCTTACATAAGAGAAGCAAATTTTATGCCTCACCTTTGCATTCAGCCTCAGTACTTACTGCACAGCTACTCAGAACTCCATGCTGGTTCATCTATTCATTCACAGATTTGCTCAACTTTTTCAACATTTATTGTCACCTGCTATGTAGTAGGCGCCATTCAAGATGCTGAATGTTGTCATGGTCACCTGTCATGTGTGCTTTTTCTCATTCATTCATTCATTCATTCAATTCCTTCAACATTTTATGGTGAACAAGATAGCCCGATTGCTGCTCTTTTTTTTTTTTTTTTTTTGTCTTTTTTTTTGTGACTGGTAAGGGGATCGCAACCCACCGGCCATCTCTATATAGGATCCGAACCCGCGGCGGGAGCGCTGCTGCGCACCCAATCACCGCACTCTCCCGAGTGCGCCACGGGGCCGGCCCCCGATTGCTGCTCTTGAACTTAAGGTCTGATGGGAGAGAAAGATGATCACCCTAAAAGTTTGCTAATCACAAATGTGATGGGTGTTTGAGTGGAGGTGCTATAACAGTCTGAAAGTGGAGCCTGGCCTAGTGAGGAAGGGCTAGGCCAGGTGATTTGAATTGGCATCTGTCACAGTCTGTTTTGTGCTGCTGTAACAGAATACCCGAGACTGGGTAATTTATAAGGACAGAAATATATTTTCTCACAGTCCTGGATGTTGGGAAGTCCAAGATCAAGGCACTGGCATCTTGCATGGGTCTTCTTGCTGCATCACCACATGGTGGAAGGTGGAAGGGCAAAGAGGGCAAGTGGGGGCCAAATTCACCTTTTTATAATGGTGTTAATCCCACCTATGAGGTTGGAGGCCTCATGGCCCTATCACCTCCCAAGGGTCTCACCTCCTAACACCATCACAATGGCAACCAAATTTCAACATGAGTTTTGGAGGGAAGCATTCAAACCATAGCAGCATCCTTCTGAGCTTTGTTGCTAAATGAGCAGAGTGACCTCACATACTAGAAGAGGTGGAAGTTAGCAGAGCCAAGCATGTCCACCCTTCTTCCTTTCCTACCTACCCAGCGTTTTGGTGATTTGAGACCACCTTCTTTCAATACACATTCTCCTTAGTGACTGCCCCTGGCTTTGAGCATGCTGCTACTCCAGCCTGCCACAGAGCCATGGCAGATGCATTCTCCACAGACTGGGAGCAGTAGGGCAGTTCCTGGCCTTAGAGGGTATTTATTAAAAGCAAAAATGACTATGTGACAGGCTTGGATCGAAGCCACAAAATCACACTAGGAGGTGGGGCTAAATCTCACGAATTGAACCAGCATACTTTATTTTTGATAAAGAAAAGAGAGAATTCTAAACCAGTGTTTAATTTGCCATGTTTCTGATTAGGCTTGGTTGGTATGACCAGCTATTGATATAAAATCACACTGTGACAGAATTCACAATGCATGTATCACCATGTTAATAACTGTTAAAAAAAAAAAAAGAAGAAAATATATGGATTTTATAGGGAGACCAATGGCTTTTTTAGCTTCTATTTTGCACTTTGAGACTTTTTACTTCAGTGGGCTTTTATAGACTGGGGTGAGAGCAGTTTTTTTGCAGTTTCCTGCTGACACTCAGGGAAAACGAGTCTAAGATCATGTACAAATACAAGGAACTTAGCTTGGAAGTTATTTAAGAAATAAAATTTTCAGTTAAGGCTTTTTTTTTTTATGAAAGAGAATGAACAAAGAATGAGCAAAACTTGTTTCTGGAGAGATGCATCTCTATTGCCTGGCATAGGTTCAGGTCAGATTCTTAAGGCCCTTTGATGGCCTGCTGGTGCTGTGCATATGTAGTTAATTCTCAGTAAACGTCTGCTGAAGAAATGATTTCATGATTCTAAAGCAAAAAATTAAAAATTTGTTTTTGATTACTTAAGGGGAAAAGATGGATAGCCACAAACTGGGTGATCTGGGAATAGGAGTGGAGATAGGATCAGCAAGAGATGGGATGGGAGAGAAAGACTAACAGAAAAATAAGAGGGACAGAATCTCGGTAAGCTCAGAGGTGTTATTCTTGACACACTCTGCTGTTGACTCCAGAGGCTGCCTGCTGTTTACCTGTCATCACAGGTTGGGGTTATCTGTTAATTGCTATTCACAGTACCCCTCTCTAGAGCTTCTGGTGGCCTAACCACAGCAGGCCACAAGAGAGGGAGTTATTTTGTAGTCCAGAGGTAGCATCAGTAATCAGAATTTTACTCTAAGACCTAAATTAAATCCAATTTTAAAAAGTGTGGATTCCAAATGTTGATTCATCACTAAATCTTTTAAAACAGTTTTCACAGCTCTTTTTTTTAAATTAGGACACCCCATTTTTATGTTATAAATTCCTATCCAGAGAGACAAAGTGTGTACTAGAACTGAGGCAGACGCTGTCAGCAGACCCTGGCTAGCCCCTCAGCTCTCTCTGCACAGGCAGAAGCATTCTACTTACCACAGGCATCTATGACTCTGCCTTTTCTCAGCAGCCACCAACCAGAAGTGTCAGGTAGTTAATGCATCATGGAGCATCCTCCGTTGATGACAGATGGGAATTGGTGGATAAATACCTCCGGCAAGGGAACTCCGAGGTGTAAGCTACACTGTTGTAATAACCGTGTTTTCTAGTTTCTGTATTTGATGATTTGACATCTGGGGCCTTGCTGACGCCAGAGAAACTGCCACTCCCAGAGCTACCCAATTCCTAGTTATAGTAAAGGACTCACTGCAGACACACCTTTCATATGCAAACCAACCAATCCAGAGCCCATACCCCATCTGCCTCCTTTATAGAGCTCTCACATGCTGGGACACTGTCCACCTGCCCTAATCACCCCAGGGCAGGTACCAGGTAACTAGAGACATCCTTTATGCCCCAGAGCCTGCCAAAATATTCAAACTGTCCAATGCTAAGCCTGCTCACCATGCCTTGCCCATTCCTTCCCACAGAAACTACATACAATCAAGCCTTTGTCCACTGTTTCTCCTCATTCCCTCTGCCTCCTTACTGACCCTGGTGTTTCCTCGTGCAAGCTCCCTGTGGCATGGCCTGTCCCCTCCTCTTGGGATCTGTGAGTAGAACAAGCTGTCTTTTCAATGGCAGTCATCTCCTGATTTGTTGGCCTTGCCATACCCAAGTAATATTAAAACCTACATTTAAAAATAACTGTCTCCCACACTTCTCCAGTGAGTTTGAGCCCCTATTGCCCAAAACTCTAATCTTCTCCTTATCATACTCTTTACTGGATTCCTTCCCTCCTCTGTTTCATTTCCCCACTCCCCAGCTGGTGCTTTCTGGAACCACTTCTCAAATAAACCACTTGCACTCAAATCACTGTAGAGCCTGCTGCTGGGGAACCCAGCCTAAAGCAATAACATATAAAAACAAAGTTGCTGTGGTGAAAGCTGGGCCTCTTCCTCCTTTTCAGTGGTTCCAGGCCATCTGTGCAGAACCCCAGGGTTCCATAGAACACAATTTGAAAATTACTTTCTTAAACCGTACTGGGATTTAAAAGGCCCTAAAAATCCAAGTAAAACTTATTATTATCCACCCAGCAAGATTTTTAGAGGTAAAACAACTTACTTCTCAAGTTTGCATGTTTAAAATTTTATTAACTTTTAAAAAATATACCAAAATACCAACAACAGATGAATGCACCAAGTGGAACTCCATTTGATTAAAAAAAGTACTTTCTCTACCTGAGGGCCTGATTTCTTTCTGAGTAGATGCTCACACATCAGGCGTACATTGGTGGTCTGGTCAATTGAGATCCATGTTAAACAGCAGCCTTTGAGCTGTGTATGGTAATAGAATGTTGTCTCTGAGGGAGAGGCAGACTGGCGTACACTCTAGTGTCTAAGCTTTTACCCACATTCATCGTTCCTGAAAGGGCTTACACAATCTCACTATTGTATTTCTGATACTTACAAAATAACCTACTTAAATGTCAATTGCTAATCCTAGTATTTACTCTGCCACCACCCTTATTAGTAAATCTTTTCTAAATGGGCTAATTGGCAATCTCAAAACAGTTGTGCAGTCTGCTTTTTCAAAAAATGATTTGTAATTAGGTCAAGGATGAGAATTCTTTGGGGTCTGCCTTAAAGTGTGAATCACTCAGAGTAGATGCTATTTTACATGCTTACTGAGATTGTGCTCCCTTCCTCTAGTTGCAGATAACTATAGGGCACAGTTATAATAGGTTGTAAGCCGCTGTATTAGTTGGGATCTTTTTGGTTGCAAATGATGGAAACCCAGCACTAACTGGTTAAATAAAAGGGGAATGTGTTACTGAGCACTATGGAAAGGCCAAGGCTTCAGCATAACTGGATCTAGGGGGTCATACAAGGTCTCTGATGTTTGATCTTGCTCTCTCTTCACTCTTTGCTGGCCCCATTTTCAGGTAGGCTCTTACCTCATGGTGGCAAACTGGCTGCCCACAACTCCAAGCTTCTATTCTCTCCTCTTAGAAACCTCCATGCCAAGTGAATGCCCTTTTCCTAGTGTCCTAGCAAAAGCCCTGAGACTCAGTCTCATTGGACCAACTTAGATGATGTGGTCATGGGGATGTGACTCTGTGATTGGTCCAGCCTGAGTCACATGCCTAACCCTGGAGGAAAAGTAGCCCCCAAGGAATGTCATGATGCTCTTACCAAAAGAAGGTTATCGCCAGGCAAGCAAAGACCACAGATGCTCTCTAAACAGGTATCAGCTCCTCATAGTGAAGGAGTAGATCTCATAGCGTCTGCTTTATTCCTAAGCCTAAATGCAAAGGTAATACTTTGCCTTGGAGTTCTAATGTCTGTTCTAGACTGTGTGTGACAGTTTTGACTAACTTGTTGCATGTTCATGAAAAAGTATATATGCCTGCCTGGTTTCTGGCTTCCCACGTGGTCACAGAGAATAAATAACGCAACCTCTTCACCTTCAACCCGTGGATAGCTAGAATCCTAGAACCCAGACATAAAATAGGTAGTGTCTGAGGAGTTCACTGAAGATAGGTGGTGTGGAAAGGCAAATTATTTACAGAGACACTTGTTGTTGGATGAAAGGGAAGTTTTATCTCTTCATCACTTTGCAGGATCACATGAAAATCACTTGTCTCCTTTGGGCCTCACTCCCCACTGGTAAAAGTTGCCTTTTGCAGAAGAAAAGCAGAGCCACAATTCTTACTATATTGCTGTCTCTTTCCCATGCCTCAAAAAGATTCCTCTAATGACAAATGGAAACAAGACAGTGGTGACAAATACATGAATTTTTTAGAGAGGTAGTTGAATGGAGCCTCTGAACATACTACTCTCTGGGCCTGAAATGCTCCGTGCCCAGATCAGCATGTGATTGGCTTCATTTAGGACTCAGCTGAAATGTCACCTCCCCAGAGAGGCCTTCCCTGACCATCCTATCTAAAGTCATCCCCCATCCTAGTCACCTTCTGTTACAGCTCCTTGTTTTTGTGATAGCACTTATCACTCTGAAATTATCCTGTTAATTGTCTGTCTCCCTTATGAGGCTGTAAGCTCTGAGAGAGCAGGGGCCATGTGTGTCTTGTTCATCATGGATGTTCATCATCTTCCACAGTGCCTAGTACATAGTTGGCACTCAGGAAAGGAAGGAAAGAAGGATGGATGGATGGATGGATGGATGGATGGATGG